AAGAAGGTGCCCAGGAGTACTCAACATGGATTCACCAAGGGGAAGTCATGCTTAACTAACCTGAGAGCCTTCTATGATGGAATGACTAGCTGGATAGATAAGGGGAGAGCGGTGGATGTCATCTACCTCAACTTCAGCAAGCTTTTGACAAAGTCCCTCACAGTGTCCTCCTGGGCAAGCTCCGGAAGTGTGGGTTAGATGAGTGGACAGTGAGGTGGATTAACAACTGACTGGATGACAGAGCCCAGAGGGTGGTGATCAGCGATGCAAAAACTAGTTGTAGGCCTCTAGTTAGCGGTGTCCCCAGGGGTCAGTCCTCGGTCCAGTCCTGTTCAATTTATTCATCAGTGACCTGGATGAAGGCACAGAGTGCTCCCTCAGCAAGTTTGTTGATGATACGAAGCTGGGAGAGCAGGTCGAGGGAGGTGATCCTGCCCCTCTACTCAGCCCTGGTGAGGCCGCATCTGGAGTATTGTGTCCAGTTCTGGGCTCCCCAGTACAAGAGGGATGTGGAGCTGCTGGAGAGAGTCCAGCGCAGGGCCACAAGGATGATCAGGGGCCTGGAACATCTGCCCTATGAGGAGAGACTGAGGGAGCTGGGCCTGTTCAGCCTCGAGAAGAGAAGGCTGAGAAGGGACCTCATCAGTGTCCATAAATACCTCAAGGGAGGCAGTGAGGAGGATGGGGCTGACCTCTTTTCAGTGGTGGCCACCGACAGAACTAAAGGTAATGGCCACAAACTGAAACACCAAAAGTTTCACAGGAACTTAAGGAAAAAATTTTTTAATAGTGAGGGTGGCGGAGCACTGGAACAGGTTGCCCAGAGAGGTTGTGGAGTCTCCTTCTCTGGAGATCTTCAAAACCCGCTGGGATGCAGTCCTGTGCATGGGATGGGGCTGACCTCTTTTCACTGGTGGCCAGCAACAGGGCTACAGGCAATGGCCACATAAATGGCACCAAAAGTTCCATGGGAACTTAAGGAAAGATTTCTTGACAAGTGAGGGTGACAGAGCACTGGAACAGACTGCCCAGAGAGGTTGTGGAGTCTCCTTCTCTGGAGATCTTCCAGCCTTACTGATTCAATGATTCTTCTAACCACCCTAGATGTTTTCTGTCTTGAGTGTTAGGCATCCAGTATTATCGTGCTATATTGCCTTGACACAGAAAGATCTTGCTCATTTGACTCCAGTTGAGCAATGCTATATTATGAATTTAAGAGACATCCCCTATGTCTTCCCCATAATCCCCTATACAATTAAATAATGAGATGAATAAGAAATATATTTTTTCAGTGTAATGAATGTTTAAAGGGCACTGTGTTACAGTACTGTCACCTCACACTGTTACACTGTTCTGCAATTCTTGCTTATTTCTTAAGTGGAGCAGGTAGAAAGAGAAGTTATTCAGCCCCTTTTCTTTAAAACCTGGAAGAGGAAACAAAAATTGACATTCACATAAAAAAATTCCAAAGTGTGAAAAACTAATTATAATACTAAATTCAAGGTGTAATTGGAGGTAATTGTTTTTCAGGAATGCTTGGCAAAACTGTAGGCTAAGAAAAATGACAAAACTATAGGCTAAGAAAAATGAAAAAAGCCCCAGTTAAAATGGGGCTAGGGGGGATTTTTAGGTAAACAAAAAGTGATGTTCACTCTCTGAATTTGACTCTGCTATCTGTATGTGAATTCTCCATCCTAAAAATAACATGGAATTATGCAGCCTGATAATCTTGTAGCACAGTAATTTTCATTCCTAGGCAAGAGCAATTAAAAAATTATATTCCCTAAGTTTCAAGATAAATTATATTTGGAGTTCTGTGCTCCAAGTTCCTGAAAATAATGTTTGTGTAGTTCGAGATGTCTTAATTGTCAAGTAACGTGCCTTCTCTTTGGCTGGCAGCTATGATGTGAGCAAAAGCAGACCTTCAGAATGGCTCTGTTAAGCCTGAAAAAGACATCCGAGAGTGCAGATCTAATTCTCTTACAAAGATTCTGATTTTAGGCCTCTTAATTGTCAATCCTATAAAATACACTGTTCTTCAAAGTCATTTTTTTGTTGAGCCATCCTTTGGCAGCAAATATTAACTTTGTTGTTGAGATTTATCTTTACCACATTTAAGACAACTTTATGAAACTTTTTTTTATTACTACATTATCTTGGATGTTTATTGGTGTGTGATAGCAAATAGACAAACAGAAAAATAAATAGCTGAATTTTAGACCTACGTTTCATATATCTTTACATTTGAGATGGAGGTTGGTTTAAAATATTTTTTCCGTAGTTACATAATTTAAAAAGTTATAGGAAGTAAGATCTATTTTTTAAATTCTTCATTACAAAATGACATGAGAATGCTGGCTGAAGGGTTCTCTGAGAATCCCAGGACAGAATGTGTTTATTATCAGTACTGAGTGGAGAGTAACACAACCTGACATGGAGTATGTGATAAATCAATCTGCTTGTTTGCAGATCAAGGTTGCATCAGGTTGCCATGCTATGAGAAGGATCTAGAAATCAGCTTTGGAAAAGATCAAAACATCAGCTTTGCTGACCTTTAATTTGCTTGTTAAAACTTGGGGATGAACTACCTCTGGGAGGTACCAGGTACTACCTTGGGGAGCCTACCTCTGTCTTAAATGCAGAGATGCATCACTGAACAATGAACGCTTCCTTCTGCATACAATTTGGACAGAGAATTGATGGAAGAGCACCGTGTAGTCAGAGTCCTGAACTAACTGGTCTGCAGCTCCTAGCTAAAAATCATATTGAAGGTCTTGGTGCATCTCCATTGGTGGTGAAAGTTGTGGTGACAGGATATAAAGCACATGGTTCTCCACAGGTTGAGGGATCGAGTTCTTCCTCTGATGTGTGTGTGTGTGTTTCCTAATGAAGTGAATCACATATGAGAGTTGTCACTGTTCAGTGACAGTTTGATTAAAATTATGTTAAAATGAAAAACATGTAAGAAGTATGTTTTTATTTAAGACATTCAGTTTTTTGATACAATATAGAATGCCCTGCTTCCTCTCCTGGAAAAGAAAGTCCCATTCCTGGAAAAGAACGTACGTCAGCTGAAGAGCCGCCAGGGTCTCATCATTCTTAACAGACGTTTTCATTATGAGTATCATTAGTGGTGGTTTAACAAGGACCATGTCCTAGATCCAGCCACATGATGAATTAAAAAAGTGTAATTTGATGATAAACACCAGGTTGCTCATATGAGGTATGCATAGATCCCTAGAAAGTCATCATTTTACAAAGAAGCATAGAGCTACCTTTAAAAACAAATAATACTTATTTCTAACTTTTTTTAAGCTAAATTAATAGAAACTGCTTTTGTGTTATTTCTAATAAAGAAATACAAAAACACCCTATTTTAGAAAAGTTTAAAATGTCTTTTTATTCCAGTATCTGTCTTTTGTCAATTACATATAAATTAGCAAAGAAATTCAATTGAAAACTGTTAACAAGTTCTGTAAACTTCAGTTTCTTAAGCAACAGTGCTAGTCAATGTATACTAAAACATAACTTTAGGGAGGTCTTTTTCTCAAAGAATGACCTACTCAAATCTAATTAAGTATTCATGTAGCCTTATAACCTCATCACTCTAGTTTTTGAACATTCCATGAGTCTTACTAGCTTTGAAACAATTTTCTGCATGGACATTATTTTTCTTTCTGCATCATTTAGACTTCTTTGGAAAATGAAAAAACTTCTTACTGTAAGTGAAGAAGTCATCTAGAAAAGCAAGAAAATTCTTAGTATAAATGAAGAAGTGCTGTGAACCATTAGCAAGTTTAAAAAACAAAGAACAATTTCAGTTACTGCTGAAAATGTTCGCATTGCTAAACCAACTTCCTAAGTATGGTAGGGCAGGGAGTTAGCTTGCTACCCTGTTCATCTAGTCACTTGATTTGTATTTGGGATGAGCACTTAGGAATGCAGTACACAAGATTAGAAAAAAATAATAATAATTTTAATGCTATCTTTTGCTGCTTCATGCTACTTTATTTTAATGCTACCTTCAAGAACTTCCAAAGCCTTTTGCACTGTATTACTATGTAACATATGTTAAATAAACACCCTGTTTAATTTTAAAGAGCTAATGAAATACGCAATAAATACAAATAGGCAAGAAAACACAAGTCAAGGTGAACAACCTATATTGGCACTAGTAGCAAGATATGAATGGCCCTTAGTCAGTCACAGTTATCCCTTTCTTAGCCAATGACCAAGTGGATTTTTAAATGTGTAACATAGCAAGTAAGTTTACAGAAGCAATAAAAGTCTGAAGGTGTTTCTGGGAGGACTTATAAAACATTTGAAGTGATACTATCAGAGCAAAGTGAGAGGTGGGCTAAAAATAAAGCTTGAAGTTTGAATGGCCAGATATACTTGGGTAAAAGTTAATTTGGTAGTTTTGAGGATTTAGGTTTTTTGTTGTTTGTTTAGTGCTGGTTGAATTGTTCCAGAGATAAAGGAGGGGAAAAGAACCCTGTATGTAGATTTTAATTGGGGAATATCAACATTTTTTTTTAGAAACAGCTAGATCTGAGGCAATTACAGGCTGTTTAGAACTAAATGCCTCTTGTGATACTTTAATTAGTTTTGCTGTTTGCAATTATACTTACTTTCCTCAGGTTGGTCAGCGTGAGGGGAAGGATATATAAAACTGCAATAAACCTGACCTTTAAGATATAGTAAGTATATATTGTTTGTTAGGCGTTAGTCTGGGTCAGATTACAAACCCAAATGTGTTCAAACAAACACCTCCAAACATGCAGTGAGAGCTATGGAGTGTGCACCTCTTCCCTGAAGAGACAAGGAAATTGTGTTTTCTCTCATGAGAATGAAATTGCAACCAAAGGATGCTGAGACTATCAGTAAAAATCATCTTCTGTCTTGTAAAAGAAATATATAAGAAATAACAATTCTTACTGTATATTGTATATACACTTCATTTTTAAAAAACTGTTCCAAAACAAGAATGTGACAGTATTTTACAAACTACTTTTGACAGCAGGATATTTTATGAACTGTCTAGAGACTGTTCTTCCTTTCCATATGGGCTTATACTGACCTCGCCTCTTTCTGCAACACCCTGATGCAAGAACAACAGTGCAACAGCAAAGGAAGATGAGAGAAGAGCAAAGAACAACAGCAATCAACCAGACACCCAAAGCTACAGCCTCCCAAGCAGGTGCCTCATTTTCCGAGGTGTAGTTCCTACCGCTGTAGCCTTTGGTATCATTGAAGTGCTGCTTACTGCTGTTCAGACGAGGAGAAGTGGGTACGTGTGATAACGTCTCGGGAGATCTAGTTATCAAAGTCGAAGGTACAGTCCTTTGGTCTGAGCTGGTGAGAGACCTAGTGCTTACTGAAGTTGTGCTTGTCATCTTAGCAAAAGGATCATCCAGTAGAAAAGTTTCTTGCCTGGGCAAAGTGGTAACTTCAGTTTTTTGGACCACTAGGCTTGTGCTGAATGGGTCTATTAAGCCATGACTAGTGGTAGAAGATGGATTTTGGGGTAGGAGATAACTTGACGTGACATTATTTTGCTGGCATCTTTCCAGCTCAGGTATCTTTGTGCTGCTTTGCTTTTCATTTTTGTTCAGTAAGGAGCGAGTATTTGGCTCTTTTGGTGTCAGCTTCTCAAAAATAAGAAGATCTGGATCAATCCCTATTAAATCATAAACAAATATTCTTTAGATAATCATCTTAGTATCAGCATGAATCAACATAAATCTTTAAAGCAAGAGTGTACCTTCTAGGTCCTTTCTCAAATGCCAAATGGGAGAAAGGGGGGAAGTATTCTCTGAAATGTGTACATTAATGTAAGAGTAATACTGGTGCATTCTTAACACTATGTGTGTTACCTAAAAGTATATTACCTGTACTTTTAGCATAACAATAGATCTAGTAAAATTTTAGCATTTCTTACAGTGGCTGTGTTCTCAGCCTTTATGCACATAGTATTTGATTACCTGCTGTAATGTTGTACAAAATGGTGTTGATTCTAGCCTTTAGTATGCAGCTTTCCAAGGCTGGGCAAGACATGTGCAGGCAGTTCCTGTTCTCCTGAGGAGCTCCATGGTAGAACACTGCTAGATTGCAGGAAACTATAAGAAAAGAATAAAGCTGAGGATCAGCCTCCTGATTCTTGCATTTTGCACATTACATTACTTAATAATACAAGAGCAGTAATACCAGGGAGCCGCATAGCACTTAAAATCTGTGCTTCTCATTATCTTGCAAACTAATTAAATCCCTGGTCAGATAAGTGGAACTATTTAGAACTATTATTTTACATTTGGAGAGAAGGGCCGCTTGAATTCCAAATATGACAATTTACAGAACTGCTAAACTGAATTTACAGAACTGCTAAACTCCTGCTACCAGTTTCTTCACACAGTCCTTTCTCTCATGCTACAGCTGCAGGGAATGGATCATTTCTAAAAGAAAAACTACCAAGGAAGACAGCTTTGAGCTGTTTACTCTTGTGGTATGAATACCTGTTTGCTTGAAACTGTAATGCAACCATTACTTCAGCCAAACTATTAAATAATCATCTACTGAACTCCAGTAAGTAGGTAGCATGCTGGCCTCTGACAGTTCCCAGTCCTGCTCCTTTTTTGCCCTTCTGCTATTGGGCTTCTGTGAATGAAGTGTATAGACTCAGTTTAGACAATTTCTGATTTGCGTTTGGAAATTCAGATCTATCTTCCCACATCAGAAATCAGGACTAAAATAATGCCTCAACAATTTGTCACTGAAACAGAATTTCCAAAAGTATAAAGATTCCTGAATTCCAGTGATTTAAGATTTAGATTGAAAATAGAACTTAGAAATTAATTTAGTTAGATGCTTTTAATAGTTTTATATTTACATCCTATTCTCATATTCTAAAATATGAATGGTTACAGTTAGTGTCTAGATCAAAACCTGTTCAGGATTCTTCTCAGAGTTTTAACTATCTAGTCAAAAGTTAATTTTATTTTACAGTTTTCTTTTATGATTTCTTTTATGATATCCTCCTTGGAGCAAGATAATAGTTTGGGGGTCAATTAGATTATTTTTATATTTAATTCTACCTAATCTCCTCCTTCCTGCCTTGAATGTAACTTCCATACCTGAACTAACATGGCTACTTGCAATTAAAAGGATTGTTAAAACTATGGGAAAAATAGACAGCAGGAAAAGCCAGAAAATTACTAAAAATGCTAAAGAGAACTTTTCTGATACTGATTTTGAGTCTCAAGTTTGCACTGGAGAATATTCTAGCATTTCTCCCGAGTCTAAGTTTAGCAATGTATTTATGAAATGAGCTTTAAGAGCTTATGTGTATTTTTTAGTGTAATTCTAATTAAAATATGTGAATTACTGAAAATGAAAAGTTGCTTCAGGCAAATTACCTTAGATAGTAACAGATAATTCTGTGATTTTTGTTAATACTGAAAAAGAAGCATTTCAGTTAGAATATATTGATTTAGCACCATTGAAACAAAAGCTTTATTTTACTTGAATTATTCAGAAGTTATTTAACTTTATAAATGTATTCCATTTCTTGTACTAACAAGTATCATCATACTAGCAGGTAATTTAAAGTAATTTGCAATACTTCCACAGTATATAATAGAAAAATCGTATAATTCTTTCCATTTTATGTAATTCTTAACAAAAAAAAAAAGAGGGAAAAAAAAAAGACTTAACTATCCACAAATGAAATACACTGAATCCATCTCTTCTAGCTTTTCTCTGATAGTGTTTGTTTGTTTGTTTCAGTTAGTAACCTGCATATGGCATCATCCAGTAAACATACAGCTTGGAAACATTTTTTTTCAGTTATTATGAACTTTTCTGCCATAAAAGTATTATTATAAAAAAAATTACAAATAATTTATGCCACACATCTTAAATTCTTGCAATGAAAATCCACAAAGAGAATGATAATTTTACAAGATTATACAAAGCTCTGAATTTATTACATGCCAAACACTTTACAACTTTATTCAAAAGATTACAAATACCCTGCTGGGCTCAGGGGGAATCTTTAGTCACTATATAAATATTTCAATCTATTTCTTGAGGACTACAAATATTTTTACAGGTGATACACAAACAACATTAGTTGCCATGGTTAAGGCAACTTAAAATCTAGTTTATATTTTTAAGAAAATGATTCTCAGTACAAAAATAATTTCTAGGCACTGCAAATGCTTTTGTATTATTTTTAGCATAAACTAACAGTTTAAAGGACAAAGCCTTTCAAATATTTGCTTGAAATATCCATATAGTACTTGATTTTCTGTGATACCTCTTATTCAAAGATTAATGCAAACACTAAGAATGTGATATTATGAAGTCATTATTTGAAAATAAAAATTTTCAGATTTTTGTTAACATTTATGATTTTTATTTTGGAGAGAAAAATAGTCCTTCAGTAATTTCATCACATATTGTAGCAATATGTACCTTTGCCTTCAGACCCAGGTACAGTATGTTCTGCATTTTGTTAAAGAATGGACATTTTCTGCTAATAACATATTTTATATTTGTTTTTACCATGATATATGAACACTGTGCAGGTTTGCTAATATAAAGACTATCTTAAGAACATAAAAGATGTCTGAAAATAATATATCTGTTTGGACGGAGAAGTGAAATTTACTAAAATTTCCCTACTTTCCATATTTCTCTCAGGTTGTTATAGTTGCGCAGTTTTTAGAAACTCCTTCAATACAACATAATTCTAAAAATGTTTTTCATTTCCAGGATTGCTTTGTAACCTTTGTGAAAATACCATTAAATATTAGAAAAAGAAGTCTTATAAAATAGGGGAAGAAAAATAATTCACGAACTGTTTTTGATAAGGAAGGACAGTTCTTTGGTCAGGATAAAAGCTCTAAGAGTTTGCAATAAAATATTTTTTATTATTTGAAGAGTAATAAGCAACAAGTTTTATGGTTTGCTTTTAAACTATTTCAAAAAGCTTTTGAGTTGTAAGATGAGCTTTTAGTAACTCTGTCTTTACTGTATGTATATGTATGTATATGGGCAGTTTTTAATAACTGGCAGGCCACTTTTATGCCCTGTATTCAAAAACCTTCCAAGTCTTTTGATTTTTTC